TTTGTTCTTCTACAATCTCGCTTATTTCACGTTCCTCTTAAGATCTTCAAGTATGTCCTATGCTCATAACTTGTAACCACTTTGATAAACTTGATTCCCTTGCTATGAAGTGTTTTACTCGGTCATTCACATATCCAAAAGGTCATTGTTATAGTCCCACACTTCCAATGCACCTTGTTGCAAGTCTACTGTAACTCTACTATTGGATCTCGAATTTGGGGCGCATCCATCAATTGATGATTGATGAAATTATTTTAGCAGGAGTGGGTGTGAAAGGGTCAACCCCATAAGAGATTGGCAGGTCATTACTAGATAATGAGATAGATGAGTTTAAAGAGCACATTGACCAGTTCAAAATAAAATGGGAGATTTATGAAGTGACAATCATGTGTGATGGATGGACATCCACCATAAGATTATCTATTATTAACTTCTTGATATATTATGATGGAAAAGTTGTCTTCCACAAATCAATTGATAGTTCTGGTCATGACAAGGATGCTAACTATATTTTGAGGTTGATGGATGTTGTTGTTGAGTAGATTGGAGAGAAATATGTGATTCAGATTATTACTGACAATGGAAGTGCGTACAAAAACACTGGCGAAATGTGCTAGAGCAAGCTAAAAGAGTGATCAATTTCATTTAAAATCATAATAGAGTCTTGAATATAATGAGAATATTTTGTTCGGGAGAATTGATTTGGTCGGGGCAAACAAGATTTGCCACTAATTATATTGTTCTACAATGTATTTTGGAACAGAAAAATAACTTGCAAAGAATGTTTACTTTAGAAAATTGGTCTAGGACTGCGGCAGCAAAGGATCCAGTTAGAAAATGAGTTCGAGGGGCAATTCTAAATCCTAAGTTTTGGGAGAACGCCAAAAATGTGTTGAATATGCATACACCAATTGCACGAGTTCTAAGAATGGTAGATGAGGAAAGAAAAGCAGCAATGTCATATGTATATGAAGAAATGAAACGAGCAAGACAAGCTGTCAAAAACACGGCTCCTAAATTATGCAAAAAATATCTTGACATCATTGATGTTCGATGGAAAAAATAAATCATTCAACATATTCATATGGCTGGTAAACTTATTGTTTACCAATTTATATTTTTATTATTGATAAGTGTTATCATTTTGGATATTATCATTTATAAGTGTTATCATTATTTATATTGTATAGCTTATTACTTGAACCCCACATACCATTATGAAGAACATGTTGGTGTGTTAGAAAATTTGTTAGGTTCACTTTGGATCGTTGTGTCTAAATTAGACACAAATCCAAACAAGGCTGCTAAAGCACATGCAAAGGTAATACTTTAGTATTTTAATCTCAGTTGTGCTAAATTAATATATAACATCAACATATCCATGATATTTAGGTAAAAATATTTCGGGACATCATGTATTGTTTTGCTGACCAAGCTGCAATTAGAGGATGAACAAAATGTGACACTGATAATTAAGTAGATTATTTACACACTCATATTTTGTTCTCATGAATTTCTATTTATATTTTTCTTTAAAATTTTAATATGTTTCTTATTATTATGCAGCAGAATGGTGGTTTATGTATGGCACTGATACTCCAAATTTGAGAAAAATTGCTATGAGAATATTGTCACAAACAACCTCATCTAGTGGTTGTGAGAGAATTTGGAGCACATTTGCTCTCATTCATACTAAAGTGCGGAATCGACTCAATTATCAAAAGTTAGAAATACTGGTGTTTGCACAACATAACATGAGGTTGAAGTTAACGCACCTTATGAAGGACATTTGCTCTCATTCATACTAAAGTGCGGAATCGACTCAATTGTCAAAAGTTAGGAAGGTTGGTGTTTCTGAAATATAACATAAGGTTGAAGTTAATGCACCTTATGAATGACAAAAAGGGTATAAATTCAGACTTATAGACTTAACCACTGTTTTTGAGGAAGACAAAGGTATTTCAGAGTGGTTAAATGATCCTGGTGATGCATTTTTAGATGAACTTGATGATGATAGACAACCAACAAGACCAAACACTTTCCTGGCAATGTGGACAAATCGTTTTTCCAATGACGAGGGAGGCGTAAGCCTAAGTCAAGGTATTGTGCCACCACGAAAATCAAGATCTAAACAAGTAGAGAATGATAAAGTAAAGCAATGGATGATGGAGTTTGACAGACTAATGAGAAGTCCACCAAGACGTAAGCAACCTATCACGATCACTAGTAGTACTGAAGATGATCATAATGGTGATGGTAGCAATGATGATGGTGGTGAAGATGATGATAAAGGTGGTGGTGGTGGTAGTGGAGATGGTGACAGCAGAGGTGGTGATAGTCATGGACATGGAGGCAATGGAGGTGGTGGTGATGGAGGTACGGGAAGCCAAAGTTCACATGGAATTGTATTCACTATAGAGGAAGAATTTACACATGCTACAAAAAATGAAGATCGTGGCTATCGACGAATGCTTCAATATGAACGACGTTCAAAATCAAATCAAGATCGTCAACGTGAGCATACTCAAAATCCAATCGATCCACATGGTATGGGTGCTATTAGGCATGGAGTTGATATGATTAATGATGATTTTTCTACTATGAGTATAAGTGGAAGTGAACACCATAATTATAGTTCGTCGTCTTCATATGATTATGGATCGGGGTATGACACACGAGGATACGAATATGGATCCTCAACATATGATTATGGATATGGCTATGACTCCCAAACATCCTCCTCATATAGACAAGATGAAAGTTGGCCAGGGACAGGTACATTCGTTCCCCAACAAATTTGGTGTAGTGTTGCAAACTATCAGATGTTTGGGAGAGAGTATAATTCATATTATCGTAATAATATGAGTTAGAGTAACTATTGTCATCATATTTGTCACATAGAGTTTCTCTAAGTAGCTACCCAGAGCCTACACCGATGTATGAGTCCACTCGACACTCCACACAAGGATCAAAATTTCGTTTCGAAGTACCGTTTCGGTCAACTCAAAAATAGAAACGTTTCGGAAACATTTCGGAAACGCAATGGAAACGCAGAAAAAATATGGAAACGCATAGAAACACAAATGCAATCCATTAATTTATAAAGATATGCTAAATAATTTATTAATTCAACATATTTATTAGGTTAACATTAATTTATACAAGAATAAATTTAAATTTGAGGGAAAAAAAGGCTTGACTTGAGGCGAAAGTCACTTAAATTAGTTTCAAACACTTAATTTTTATGAAATAAACACATTTTTACATAATATTAAGGTCTTATAATACACATGAAATGCTAATGAGTACATACTTACATGGTTACATCCATTCCCCTGTGGAGTGTCGAGCAGGCTCATACATCGGTGTAGGCTCTGGGTAGCTACTTAGAGAAACTCCATATGTGACATAAATATGATGACAATAGTTACTCCAAATCATATTATTACGGTAATATAATCCAATTAATAATACTATTTTATTATAATACTAATAATGAAGGGTATCAAATTAAATTAATGATACTTATGTATACTTAAAAATTAAATGTAATTGCAGTGGGTATTAAATGTAATTACAGTAGGTATTAAATATAATTACATTAGGGTATTAAATGTAATTGTTAATACTTATAACAAAAAAAAAAAGCAAAAAACTTGCACAGCAGTGAGATATTAAATATAATTACAGTATGTATTAAATATAATTATAATGGGTATTAAATATAATTATAGTAGGGTATTAAGTGTAATTATTTATTCTTATAACAAAAAAATTATAAAAGACAGAAGAGCAGTGGGAATTAAATGTAATTATAGTGGGATATTAAATATAATTATAGTGAGTATTAAATGTAATTACAGTGGGTATTAAATGTAATTATAATGGGGTATTAAATATAATTATTCATAATGAACCGAATATATCACTGTTTTGTCGAAACGGTACTGTTTTGATCGAAACGGTTCGAAACAATGCCGTTTCGATCGAAACGGTCCGAAACAGTACCGTTTCGACCGAAACACTGGAATTTTGTGATTCAACTACTGTTTCGTTTCGGAGTGTTGAAATTCCGAAACGTTTCGGACGTTTCGGACGTGTCGACACGACATTTTGATCCTTGACTCCACAGGAGATGGATGTAGCCATGTAAGTATGTACTTATTAGCATTTCATGTGTATTATGAGACCTTAACATTATGTAAAAATGTGTTTATTTGATGAAAATTAAGTGTTTGAAACTAATTTAAGTGATTTCCGCCTTATGTCAAGCCTTTTTTCCCTCCAATTTTAATTTATTCTTGTATAAATAGATATTAACCAAAGAAATATGTTGAATTAATCAATTATTTAGCTTATCTTTATAAATAAATGAATTGCATTTGTGTTTCCACCTGTTTTCATTATTTTCTACGATTCCATTGCGTTTCCGAAACGTTTCTGTTTTTGAACAGACCAAAACGGTACTTCAAAACGAAATTTCAATCCTTTGGTAGAAACAAGGAGAAACATCTAGCCTAGAAAAATCTAACAATCACAAATGCATGTGTATCACTTGTTTATTGTTTTTTTTTAATTATTCCAAATGATATGGTAGTAGTGATTCTGTTATCATTGATTATGCACATCATCATTTGTTACTTCTTTCTTTGGTTTTTCGTCCTCAAAGATAATCAACTTCACACACTGAAAACGTGTCTCTTGCCCCCTCTTGTTTTCAACCGGCAACAAGAATCAAACACAGACTCACTCTAGTTGCCCACCAACACCAAAAAGGAAAGAAAGAAATAACACAAAAACCAACTTATAAGTGTTGGCTTGGCCTAGTTACCAAAGTGCCTAAGAGAAACTTTCCAAATTCAAGAAAAATTCAACATAGGCGCCATCACGTGTTCACATTTTCCAACAATTTGGTAAAGAACAAAAAAATTAATGACATACTATACTTTCAAAGTTCCATAGTTCTCTAATAATAGTACATGTTTCAGTGAAACTTTGCTTCACATGTAGAGCATAAAAGTCAAATTACCAAAGCTTTGGAACCACATACCATGAACCATAGCTGATCCAGTGTCACGGGATATCTCAAATTGAAGCTTCTTATAGCGATGATTGCTTTTCTTAGTTGAGTAATTTGGATGGGTGAATGTAAAAACCTATGCAAGTGCAAACCGAGATGCATGTAAGTTGCTGGAATGGATTTGAATTCACTGCCCAAGAGCTAGAACTATAATGGAATTATTGTAAGCATGGTATTAGAAAAAATCTTACGGGTTGGGAGGGAGAAAGCCTTGCTACACGGTGGAGTTTGACAACGTAAGCCGTTTCGAAGTGCACAAGATCTTTGTGCGACTTAACCTGCAACATAATCAAAGCAGTCCGTTCATACTGAAAACCGAAAAATGGTCACAGAATGAGATTGTGAAAGAGACAGGGCATACATCATTGTATAGCTTGGATGCGGTGACAGGTTGAATGAAACTTGTATACCTGAGGAAGGTGCAGCAACGAAAGTGGTATGAGAATAAATACTACTCGGGAGCACCAAAATAACAAGAGTCAAGTCAATTTTCCAAAGCAATTCCAGGTTCATGTTAAGCAGAAAAAAATGTCCGAATGAACAAACAACTAACAAATGGTGATCATAAGTAGGCCAAAACACCCTTACTATGGAACTTAACAAAACTTAAATAAATCATCTGCACTTCCAAAAATATATAATAGTGAAGTTTATCCGTATGTTTCCCAATTAACTCCTGAATAAAGCAGCTGTACTGGCCACCACTGATCATAATTTGATTTCCTTTACACATGGTAATCATATTTAAGAAGGTTGTCAAGTTGGCAGCACAGTGTAAAAGTGGAGATAGGGCAGTATCGACATGGTGTATGTGTTTGCACAGCTAGCAGAGTTGAATTTGGAAACTTCACGTGTAGCATGTTGATATTTCTAATGGGGTAGCATTTAGGATAACAATGTTATATTTGCTTTTTCGTTCAAATCCATCACTGTGCATGAGAAAGACAGAGATATGCAAGCAGCAAGGAAGATCCAAAAGTAAGCACCCTCCTATTCGAGTACTGTGCCTCGTACCATATAATGGCCGTTTGTAGAGGTCACTATAAATTCCATCGCGGAAACGGCAACATTGCTCCCCCCAAAAACAACTAATCATCTTAGGATAAACTAATAGCAATCTAATTAGAACTAGCTGGTGAAGAGGACTGATCTTACTGGATTTTCCACCCCATATGAAACTGTTTTCTATTAAAAGTCTAGTATGGAAGTCCTCCCACCAAAAAACAAATTCAGCTCATCAACTCTTTCCTCCTTCAAGTAAGAGGCTTTGCGAATATACATACAATGAATCAAAAGGACAAAAAAAGATCGAAGCAATTAAAAGTATTGGTGTGGAAGGGACAAAACATGGTGGATAAGGAACATGTTGCAGAATTTAGTCTAGGAATCGTATCGAGATAGAAACACTTAAAATCAAGTGGAAACATAAAAAGCATACCAACCAAGACACGAGCTTCTTTACATGGTTCAGCAGCAAATTAAAATATAGCGTACATCCACGGCAAAATGATAAAAAAATTTCCCTATAGAGGAAAAACAAGAGTACAAATACAAGAACCAGAATTCTTACTCTCACAAGCACCCTCTTCACAAAAGTGAAGCACTCTCCAACTGATGTCTTGCTCATATCACTCAATTCTCCAAAGCCAGAAATCTCTCAATTCTGGATTGTCTAAAACTCTACTTGAACTTCTCCTTTTATGTGAACTTCGGAGGGATAACAAACAAATATATTTTAAGTGCCTGATAGGACGAAGCAAAATTTGATGTCGATTTCAGAATAGAAAGGACACTCTGCTGCATGCGTAGCACACAAATTGGTGAGTTTTTATGCTAAGAAATTATGTCTCTGCTCCACCTTTGCCTGAAGCTTCTCCCAAGCCATTTGGGAGCATATTTTTCTAATCACTGTCTCCAATGCGCTTCGTATGGCGCCTAAACTTTTAGTATATTACTCAAGTCCAACCAACGTTGGAGCTTGATTGTTGGAACTACTTTTAGTCAACAAATTAATCAGACTATCGGCCATATGTTTCGTTATGGCATGTTGAACTTGATGCTTTGTCAAGTAACTAGCACTTTGACTTTCATAAAATACAGAGAATGAGTTGCAAAATTTCCCAAGTCACCAATCTCACACCAGAGATATAAAGCCTCCTTGACGTTTTTGAGGGTCTGAGTCATTACAACACACTGTATCTCGATTCTCGACAAAGCAACTGTTGGCTGTAACATAGAACTCCAGCAAACTAATGAAAAAACATAGTCTGTTGACGGTAGTTGCCTATCCTAGTCACCAACGCCATCAAAATCCACAACATTATTTAGGTGAGACTCTGAACTATTGTCTACTGAAGTACCAAGCTTCTATCAAGAATCCCTTGTAGATACCTCTGCAACCATACCACAGCTTGCATTGCAATTTACCAGCTTACCACATTAACTGCATACGAAATATCTAATCGAGTGCATACCATGGCATACATCAGGCTTCCAACTACACGCTCTGGAACACGAGAGTATGAGATATATATTTAAACTACTCCTTGCTGCTTAGAGACCATTGTTATTTAAGGACTGAGGCAAACTAATGCGCCTCCATCCCTTGCAACTTAGGTATGCGCAAGAAAGGATCAAAATTTTGTTTTGAAATGGTCAAAACATTCGAATCATTTTTATTTATAAGGAGACCGAAATGAATCAGTGATGGAATTGAATTTTAATATTTTGAAGTACTCCATAATGTTTCGAGATGTTTTGTAATATTTCAATATATTTGCACAATTTTTTGGAATGTTTTAAGATATTTCAAGATACTTTGTCATATTTCAACCGATCTTTTGAAAAATCATTCTTAAATTTTTTATTTTTTTTTATTATATTTCCGAAACTGATCAAATATTTTCGAAACACGTCGAAACATTTCCATTTTCTAGGTGATCGAAATAATACACCGAAACAAAATTTTGATCATTATGCGCAAGGCAAGGCATGAATGTCATCTAAGTGAGGTCAATGTTGTGAATGACATGCAAATGATTTTTCAAAACAAGCCATAACCTCAAAAAATATTTAATAAAAGCAAATATTCAAAATTCCAAGCATTATTAAAACTTACAATTTCAAAATATTCCAAATAGAATCGATTGAACAAAAACTCATGTCGCAAACAAATGCATCAATTTTTTGGCAGTCAACTTTTTATGGCAAATACGAAGCACATAAATTCATATGAATCATCACAAAGATAATGCATTCAAACAACCAATTCATTGATTCACAAGACCCGAACTCCATCATATTTCCAAGCAGAGCAAAAAATTGAGACAATTATGGCACTTAAATTGCTTGAGCTAAACAAACTTTAGGTACAGGTAGAACATTTTACTTGCGCAAAAACATGCCTACTTCCAAAGCTCAAATTGTAATTTGGTTTCAAACCCACATCTAACCCCTAAAGAGACAAGGAGAGAGAGAACAAAGAGAGGCACGCAGACCATGAAAGCAAAAAAGAACGAAAGGTAGGAAAAGAAAGAAAGATCGTGAGTCAAACAGACCAGAGAAAGAAACCAAGAAAGAATGAAAAATAAAAGAAGAGATAGAGCGATGATGAAACACAAATGAATACAACCACACTTCATCTTATTAGCACAAAGATCAATAACACATGTAATTTGCAAGATAAAAAGACAACCAAAAAATTTTCACTAAAGCATAATTGCTAAAGCTTCTTGGGCCTTGCACCAAAGCCCACTAGGCATGCGCCTCACAAACAATGTTATGAAAAGCGAGCCTACGCGAACGCCTAGGCAAGAAGCGAAGCAAAGCCAGTCTTGGTCGCCTTGAACATCTAGGTGAAGCGAGGTTAAGTAAAGCGAGGAACAAGCGAGCCTAAGCAACGAAGCGAGACAGACGAGAAAAATGAACACCTAATTGTAGTTCTTTTATTTTCTCCTCCTCCCCCCTCCTTTTTTCTTCTTCTTCAACATTAACCAAACTCTAATAGAGATGATGTTATATGTGTATATGTATAAAATAATTGATTGATTCATCTAACAGTAACTTATGACAATCTATATTATTATGATTAGATGATATTGAATGCTCTTGTTAATCAATTTGCTATATACTCTATTTGATTAATTAATTTGTGATTGCTCTATTTAGTAGTGATATTAATCAATCACGGTAAAAATCAAACCCACATTTGCTAGCTTTACATTTAGATGACGTGATTATGTCAATTGGTTATTTTTTTTAATGCAATAATATTCAATATTTAATATCTTGTCTATTTAAAATATGTTGATATTTATTATTTTGGTTGCATTTAAATATTTTGTAAATGTAAAGGTAAAACTTGAATATTTATGAGTAATCAAAGTATCAAACTAAAATATTTGCTTATTTTTTATATTATTCGCTTTGCTTCAATGAAGCGCTCGCTTAGCTTGTCACTTCTCGCCTAAGCCTCAAGACATCGGTTCGCTTCAATTCGCTTTACGCCTTAAATAACACTGCTTACAAAAGTACGCTAGCCAAGGCATGGGCAAATCGCAAGTGGACCTTGCTACGCTTTGGGTCTAGACACACGCCTTGAACAACACCGTTACACATTCATTGCAGGTTTGAAGTGGCCAGTAATGAAGTACTCACAATCTTTGAGTTTTAAGTACCAAATGCACACAAGTACTTCCATTGCGATTGTGACGCCCTTAAATCCAGGAGTCCTTTCTCAACTCGTTGATCACCCATCAACCCGCATAAATACCTGTGAATACCGCATAACCAGACACCACGTCATCGCATCCCATTTACCGGGATTGTTACAAACACATAGTTTGGATAGAGTTTCCCTTATACCGGAGCACTCCCAAACGCATAACTTGTACACATATCAATTACTTGACTATTCCAAGGTCCAATCCCCATGAATTTACACTGAATATTGAACCAATTACATCATTTAAACAAGACTCGAGGCCCGAAAGCTTAGTAAGTTATATTTAAATATTTTTTTGAAAAGTTTGAAAGAGGAACGGCCTCTTACACATGGTATCGGTACTTGAGCCTTCTGTCTATCAAGTACTGGTAACTCAGTAATGGGGTACCGGTACCTGAATAATGGGGTACCGGTACCTGGACCTTTATTTTTCAAGTTCCTTCTAGTTGCCAAGTACCGATACCTAAGTGACGGGGTACCGGCTCCTGAACCCGCTGTTTGCTAGGTACCGGTACCTAAATGTCGTAGTATCGATACCTAAGCCCATTGTCCATCGAGGTACTAATACCTGAAGTCTTGGTACCGGTACATGAGCCACTAGAATCTAAGTACTAGTACTCGTATGTCGAGGTACCGGTACCTGGCCCATCCAACAGCATGATACCAATACTTAATCACTTAGATGTC